CATGATAGGGCGACAACTAGTCCTGCCCAAAATAATATCAAAATCTACCATACTGAGCAACAATAGATCGGCTCTGGTCTCAAAACCACCAAGAACAACTAAACACGATCGATATACACGATCAACAATATAATAGATTCTCCCACAGGTGTGGACACATAGACAGGAGAACTCAAAGAATCACGGATACACCCAAATATGGAGCAAAGTAAGATGACACATAGGAATAAGTGGTGCCTAGATCAAATAAGACTAATGTATCTCTATGACAAACCAGAACAATACTTGTGATAATTGAGTTGGATGCAACTGCCTCCATTCTAGCAGGAAGAGCATAATATCTAGCCTGGCCTCCCCCTCTAGGCCGACCTCTACCTGCCCGACCTCCTCCTCTGGCTGGCTGTACAGGTGGAGTGGCAACTAGTGTGGTAACCATGGCCTGAGGACCTGGTGGAATACGCGAAGCCTGAGTAGTCTGTGGAGGTGGACCCCTCCTGAGTCTGGGGCAATCCATCACCATATGACGAGTGTCACCACACTTAAAACAAGATATCGAAAGATGTGGCAGATGTGACTGGCTCGGGCCTGAACGGCTGGACTGACTGCTAAAAGCACCCCGTGCAGGAGATACACTAGACAATGGCAGTGCATAATAGGGAACCTGAGGCTTAAGAGTGGCTGGAATACCGCTGGAAGTTGGAAATGCTGAATGAATAGGGCGGCTCACATAGCCCCCACCATAACGGGCTGCAACTGGGGCACGGGCACCACTATATGTGCCAGAATCTCGAGGACTCTTGGCCTCCCTCTCCTCTCTATCCCGGGCCCACATACCCTCCAATCTCCTAGCGATCTCCACTACCTGCTGGTATGTGATGTCCATATCCAGCTCTCGGGCCATGCTGAATCAGATACCAGGGTTGAGCCCCTCGATAAATCAACGGACTCGCTCTCTAACAGTAGTAAACAAGGCTGGTGCATGCCTGGACAAATCATTGAACTGGACTGCATACTCCAATACGATCATAGAACCCTTGCGCAATTGCTCAAACTCTGCGCGCCATGCATCTCTGGGACTCTGGGAACAAACTCCCTCAAGAACATATATGAGAACTGAGCACGGGTGAGTGAAGCTGCCTTGGTTGGACTACCCAACCCATACGCTCGCCACCACTGATAAGCCGCTCCATTAAGCCGGAACGTAGTGAAAGCAACCCCACTAGACTCCACAATACCCATAGTACGGAGGATACTGTGGCACTCCTCAAGAAACCCGTAGGCATCCTCTAACGCCAAACCGCTGAAAGTAGGATGGTGGTACTTCTAGTACCTCTCGAGCCTGAGCTGCTCCCCCTCAGAAAATGTTGCCCTAACATCGGTCTGAACTGGGGCAACCAGCTGTACTGGTATGATCTGTAGGACCTGGTCAACCTGGATCGCTGATCTATGGTGTGGGCGGCGGGAGTTTATGCTCCTCCCTCGGCCTGAGATCTGGCATGATCAAGTGGGATCAACCCTGCCTAAGCTAAAGTGCCAAACATGCTCAGAAACTGGGCGAGAGTCTCCTGAAGTGCTGGGGCAGTAACAGGCCTCTCAGGTGCATGCTCTCCACATGGAGCTACTGGTGGCTCCTCTATAGCAACTCGTGCAGGTGCTCTGGCTGCACCACGTGGACGTCATCGGCCTCTACCCCGGCCCCGACCTCTCGCGGCTTTAGCAGGGGATGCGAGTGTCTGGTCATCCAATCCGACTATGCGTGTCCTCACCATCTGTGAGAGAATAGAAAGGCAAAAATTTAGAATTCCGAAGTAAACAATTTCGCACGATAAGGAATCAAAGAAGTGAAGCTTTTCCTAATAGTTTCATAGCCTTTCAAAGATAAGTACAAACGTCTCCGTACCGATCCACGAGACTCTACTAATCCTGCTTGTGACTCATAAAACCTATGAACCTAGAGCTCTGATATCAACTTGTCACGACCCTAAATTTCCCTCCGTAGGATGTCGTGACGGCACCTAGTCTCTTAGACTAGGTAAGCCTAACAAACAAGCGGAATAACTGAATAATTCATAAATATAAGTCTCAAACTCAAAAATTGTATAAAATAACGTTACAACTCAGCTTATACCAATCCCGAGACTCGACGAAATACAAGTCACAAGCTCTAAGTAGAAATACTGGATAATCCTATACATCATTTCTATATATAAATAATAATGAATAAAGATATCTAGAGAGAAGAGGGACTCCGAAGCCTGCGGATGCAGGCAGGTATACCTTGAAGTCTCCGCAATAGAATCCGAGTTAGTGCCTGGGCTGGTAAGTAGTACCTGGATCTTCACAAAACGATGTGCATAGGAGTAGCATTAGTATACCACAACGGTACCTAGTAAGTGTCAAGCCTAACCTCGGTAGATTAGTGACAGGTCAGGTCAGGGCCCTACAAAAATAAATAAAAGACTGTACCAATACAGGCAGTGTAATAATGACAGTAATGAAATTGAATCAACGAATAGCATATCAAGGTTAGCTACACAGAACTAAAGCTAATAATGAAACACACAGAAAAGACAATTGATAATATACTAAGGAAAGAACAATCAATGACAAGTGCAAAAGAGTGGGGAAATGTCAATAAGAGTCACTACAGATATACCGCCTCGTAGTCTCAAATCATAAAAATAAATCACAATTTTTCCTTATATCACCGCGGGAGCCTTTACATTTAGTTTTGAAAATCAATTTTCCCGAAATAGCATGCCGCGTTTTAGACCACCTTATCACACACATGGATTCTAGTAGTTCCCCTACTAGTCACGCGTATCAAGCCCACCTTATCACAGCGCATGCGTTTCAACACCCAGGCCTTATATCACAACATGCGTATCAATATCACAACGTATCACAAATCGCACCTCAAGTGCCAAATATCATAACTTGCCAAAGAAACCAAACAATAACAGAATTTCATTATTAGAAGCCCACGGCTCGACCACAATGTACAGGAAGTCTCAACAATAAAAACCGAAGAATAACTCAATAGAATGATATTTCACAACTTAAGACTTTGCCTCAATAGGAATCATGGCCTTTGCAACTCAATACCAATTTCAACAACAAGATATTCTAATAATAGCAATTTCAAGTAAAGAATTCAATAGTAAATAATGCATACTGAATAAATGAAACAAGAACGTCAACTAAACATGTAGGGCAATTAGCAATTAAGAGATAAGACTAGTAGACATATGAATTTAGACTAAAAACGATGACTATAACATGTTAAGGTAATTCAATTAAGGCATGAAAGGAATTTACATAGCTAAAAACGGTAATTTTAACTTTTAGCCCGTGTACACACTCGCCACCTTGCGTACACAGCTTTTACACATCACAATTATCACAAACATCACCAATCCTAATGGGTAATTCCCCCACGCAAGGTTAGACAAGCCACTTACCTGAAACCACGCTAAATCAATCCACTAGTAGGCCTTTCCCTCAATTATCCAACTCCGAAAGGCTCGAATCTAGCCAAAATGATTTCATACTATAAATATAACTATAGAAAACTAATTCAAACAATGAAATTACGATCTTTACAAAGAATTAAAAGTCAACCCAGGCTCGCATCTCAGAACTCGACCAAGGCAGCCTTTCCTCTTCGCGAATGCGGATCGCAGTCCATGATCGCAGTGAACAATGTAGTGACCCTTCGCGAACGTGTGTCCTTCTTCATGGATGCGAACGGTAAACCTCCAGCAATCTCTGAAGACTCTACTCGAAGGTGGGAACACCTTCACGAACGCGTAGAAGGAAACCAGAACTAAGAAAAATCAGAACTTCAGTAATACATCATACGAACACGCTCGACGCGTCAAATAACATCATAAAACACTAGAATCACGAATCGCGTGTCGATTCAAGCCTAAGAAACTTATGAACTCCAGAATTCCAAAACTACAACTGATTCCTACCAAAACAACTCTAAATGACTTTAGATTTTGCACACAAGTCATAAGTGACATTAAGGACCTATTCCAACTTCCGGAATCGGGATCCGATCCCAATATCAATAAAGTCAACTCCCAATCAACCTTTCCAAAATCATCCATTTTCCAACTTTCGCCAATTCACGCCGAAACGACCTACGGACCTCCAAATAAACACACGGACACGCTCCTACGACCAAAATCACTATTCGGAGCTATTGGAACCATCAAAAATCTATTCTGGATTAATCTTCATAAAAGTCAAACTATGGTCAACTCATACAACTTAAAATTCCAACTTAGGGACTATATGTTCCCTTTCACTCTGAAACTCTCCCGAACCGAAGCCAAGCACCACGGCAAGTCACGCAACCACAATATAACACAAAAGAGGCAATATAGGGGATAGGGGCAAAAATACTCAAAACGACCAGCCGGGTCATTACAGAAAATTTGCAAACAAAACAGTCGCAAAGAAGGAAAAACTGGGCGACCAGATAAATTTGAATTTCGCGTCCAAAACGGTCGGTAATTTTGCGACCGAATCGGTCGCATATTTTAAAATAAGTATTAATAATTTTTTGACAGTTCCGACCGATTTGGTCGATAATTTTAATATTTAATTTAAATTAAATTCATAATCTCCGACCAAATCAGTCGGAAAAATTAAAATTAAATTAATATATAATTAATTTTTCCGACCACTTCAGTCGTTAAACTGGAAATTCCTTGTTAATTTTTCTGACCAAAGTATTTGAAAATCAGTCGGAAAATCTGTAATTTTTCAGCAAAATTCTGATGCATTTTAAGCTATACCACCTGCAATTCAAAACCAACCATTCAACCTAATATGTGTCACAATTGCTCAAACAATTGAACACAAAATATCAAATATCAAACTATCAATCTATACAACACTTTCAAACAAGTCTAAACGCATTTATCATAACACATTAAAGTATAAAAACTTCAACCAAATGATATTCAAGTCTAAAACACATAATCCAAGTGTAAACTCAACCAAGCCGAAACCAATAATGTCTAAACTCATATTACATTCAAAATTACTACCGATCATCGTCGGTTTCGGTCTCCTCATTGTTAGATTCTTCCATCCTAGGTTGTTTTCTATGGTGTGCCATAAATGTCCGCATCATATTTATTGTTTCCTGAGCAATATTCCATTGTTGAGATAATTCATTGATGTGCGTCCGCGTTGTCTCAATTTCTTCGAGTGAAGCAGAAGCATGACTAATTAATGCGGTTGGACGACTGGACGATGGCTGCACTCCAACTCCGTAAACTCTACCTTTATTTATTTTCATGAAAAATTAAAATATATAGTTAAATGAGCAAGAGAAGAAGCATACAATTTGTGCAAAATAATATTAAAACAAAGTCATATCTAAAAAAATTACTAAAATATTTTATACCTTTATTTACTCCACCGGCTGCCTGTGTCCATATCGAAGTCATATCTTCGGGCGTCGGCTGAGAATTGGGCTGAGTTTGTTGCTATTCCTCCATTCTTCTGTGATACCCTTCCTGAATTGTTGTTGACAAATATTATATAAATGAATTAATCTTAACCAAGAATAAAGGTAGTACTGTTAGAATCTTACATCTCTGATGAACGCGGTTCGACACATGCTTCTCTTGTACCATCCTTTTTCTTCTTCTTCTTCTTTTTCTTATGTGTCTCCTCAAAGATAGTAGCATGAGACACATCTTCCCCATCTGCCTTTTCCTTTCAAAATAAAAAATATGAGTTTATTACTTGAATCTCATTTAAGTAAAGCTAAGTAAAATTTCATAAATAAATTGCCAATCTCAATCGATGGCCGCAAAACTAATAGCCACTCTTACTGGAGGCTTTGTTTACCTTCGCCTGTTCACTCCTCTGCTTCCATTCTTCGGTATTCCACTTCGCCAATAGTTGAGACCAGACATCTTCATGTAACCACAAAGGTCTGCTCCCACCTTTTCGAGCAACAAAGTGAGTATCTTTAATCCTTTTCCGAGCTCTCTTCTCGAAATTTTCATTCACCGAATTTTCATGTTGAGGCTGCCATACACACTTAGTCTGCAATTAAGATAAATATTAGACGAACATAATAAATATTATATAAATTAAAGATAAAAGTTAGACGAACACAATAAATATTATATAAATTATATTTATTCGTACCATAAATTGAAGCCACATATTCACTCTGATTTGGTATGTAATCTCTTTCCATGAATTCCACGGCCATGGAAAAAGACTTCATTGCTTCCACAACCATATGTGTGGCCTGAAAGAATGGCAAAAACTTGCATAGTATGTAAAATAAACATTCTTTAAATATATGTAGATTTTATTCTAATAATTAAAAATTAAGTACTTACCCGTCCCCATGGGGTATGCTAATCAATCGATGCATATGATCGTACTCTACAGTCCCACTAGCATACTGTCTCCGTGAAGGAGCAACTGAAGCAATACTAGTAGATGGGGATGTAGCTGCCTAGGATCCTCCAATATCAAGTCTAGATATCTTAGGAGTAGATGATGATGGAGATGATAATGGAGTGGACGATGATGGAGGCACAAAAGATGAACCATCATGCCCGCCCTAGGATGGAATAAATGGTGAGCCATCATGCTGACTAGCAAGGAAATTAGGACTCAAATGTGGCAAATTAGGCGTGGGAACAAAATTAATAGTAGTGGAGGCCGAACCACCCTGGGTCGGCATGGAATAGTACTGTATTGTGCTACCCGGGGGGAGGGGGGGACTCTGAAAAACTCAGGTGGTAATGCAGTCGTCGACTGAGATGAACGAGGAAAACTAGGAGGAGGACTCATCCTAGGCTTGTGTGGAGGAATGTGATCACTCGTGGATGGCAAAGTATATTTTTTCTTCTTAGATTATTTCAGTTCTTTACCCTTAGAAGCCATTTGTGCAAATTAAGTAAAAGAAAATATAGTAATAATCAAAATCAATAAGTAATAATATAAAGCAAATCTTTTACATATTATAACAATTTAAAAAAGAACATATATAAAGTCCAACATGATATAAATATAAAGAAATAACATGAGAAATCAAACAAGTTATAAAACACACAAACAACTCAATTCTCATCGCTTTCTTCATATTGATCATATTCATTTTCATCATCACTTTTTTCATTTTCATCATATAATTCGTTATCCTCGCTTGCTTCATGTTCATCACTTGAATCTCCATCCTCGTTTACCGTGGACGTTCCTTCCTCATAATCTCTTTGATTTGATCTAAGGACTGAAGGCTCGAATTCCTCATAAAGGCCTTCACTATCCTGCAATTCACCTGCTAGTTCATCATCCACAATTGCTTCAATATTTGATAATGTCATTCTGGTACGCTACATCTAATGCATCATCGACATCAACTCTACCCACGAGTTTTATCACTACCCACCATGCAGCATTCTTCTTGCACAAAGGATAAGGTCCGTAATACACATGTTTCACATTTTGTGCTATGATAAATGGGTCATAGAGTCTATATCTCCCCGTATGCTTTATTTCAACTATTTTATATCGCGGATGCACCTTTGTACCCCTAGTAGGTGTTAGATCATACAATTTACACTGAAAGAGTACTAACTTTTTCTTCGGCCAACCAACACTATACTCGAGTTCTAATATCTGTTGAAGCACACCATAATAATCAACATCACCATCAGCTTTCACACACACACACACACCACTATTATTAGTTTTTTTGGCTTTGGACCATTCTTCTATATGAAACTTGTACTCATTGAGGGAGTACTTAGACATCATTCTGACCTTAGGACTAGGTCCCAAAGCGATGTCATACAAAAATGGATCATTTATGCCATTATCTGAATTATGAACCTAGATCGAACCCAATATATAACAGTTAATTAGAAACTAAAAAGTACGTACACCTGATAATAATTTGCATTGAAAGAAACTTCGTTAATACTTAAAAAGTGTTTAAAACATTATGCAAACATAGAATAAACATGCTCATGCCCATATGTGCCTACAAACCAACTGTCCGACATATTTGAAACTTTTCATTAGTTAAAATGATTGATAATTAAGATTGAATATAAGTCAGTAATATAAATGTACATTTACGTATAATAAGGTTGGATTTTAGAACAATTTAGTAGAACATGTGTTGTAGCTGACTTTAGCTCCGTCTCAGTCAAAAATTGTGTTGGACTACGTTATGGACTACCTTTTCTAGGTTGATTGAATATGGAAAAGGGTGGTGCCAATGGATTGGCATTGCCACCATCATCATACCGATCAAGTCTATCTCTTAAATATGGCACATCAAGTTCAAAATAATATGAACAGAAATAAGACGTTGTATAGACAGATATACCTTACATATCGATCCCTTAATCCTTGATCTATTTTTCATGGTCCGCTTAGATTTTCCTATCATCCTACATAGCACGATTTTGAGATGAAATAATATTAAACTAAAATATGTAAGGATAATTGATTAAAGATAATTACCTCTCGAAGGGATACATCCATCTACATTGAATTGGACCTCCTAGTCGTGCCTCTTGCGCAAGGTTAATTGGAAGATGTTCCATGACATCGAAAAAATTAAGTGGGAAAACTTTTGCCAACTTGTTTAAAGTTAAGCGAATGTTACTATCCATGTAAGCTAGGTTCTCCGCCCTCAATGTGCTAGAGCATAACTCCTTGAAAAAAAAGCATATCTCATTGATGAGCTTCCATATTCTATCAGGCAAAGCATTGAATGCAATAGGCATCAAAGATTACATGAAAATGTGACAATCGTAGCTTTTCATAGATGTCAATTTCCCTTCTTTCATGTCAACAGACCTAGATATGTTTGATGCATACCCATCAGGCATCCTCAAATTATTAACCCAATCACAAATCTCTCTTCTTTCATTCAAAGTGAATGTGTAGCTGGCCTTAGGCTTTTGAATCTTGTTGTTCAAGTATGCCAAGTACAACTCAACCCGCCTACAATATTCTTTCAAATCTATCTTGACCTTCAAGTTATCTTTTATCTTGTTGCTTACATCCATCACAGTATTAAACAAGTTATCAAAAACTTTCTTCTCAATATGCATGACATCAAGATTATGCTGAAGAAGATTGTGCTTCCAATAAGGTAACTCCCAAAAAATGCTCTATTTTGTCCAGTTGTGTGTTATACCGTACCCCGGTTTCTTATCAGGAAATGAATACTCTGTTACCTTAGGTAGATTCATAACTTTGTTCCAAATCTCTTCAGGCGACAAGACATGCGGTGGCTCCTCAAAATCGGTTTGGTTCTTCATAAATGCACTAGTATTTCTCCTAAATCATGATTCATTAGCAAGAAGACGCTATGACAGTCAAATCATGTGTTCTTGCCTCCATGTTTCAAAGGGAATGCCTTTGTGAATTCCATACAAGTCAGACAGGCTAACTTTCCGGCAGTTGACCATCCGGACATCATTTCATAAGCAGAAAAATTATTTATAGTTCACATCAAAGCAGCACGGAATTTGAAGTTTTTCTTAGTTGATACATCATATGTTTCCATACATTCATGCCACAATAACTTCACCTCATCAATTAAGGGTTGCATGTATATATCAATCAATTTTTTTTTTGGATTGCGTGAACCTGGAACAATACAAGTTAGAAACAAATATTGATTTGTCATATAAAATTCGGGTGGCAGATTATACGGCGTAACAAATACTGGACAACATGAATATGGTGCAGCAGACACTATAAATGGAGTGAATCCATTAGCACATAATCCCATCCTAATATTTTTCAGTTCACCGACAATGTCTGGGAACACCCTATCAAAATATTTCCATGCTTCTACTTCTGACATATGACATAGCACACCATCTGGCCTTCTATGTTCATAATGTCATCTCATATGAGGAGCGGAACTCATTGATGCATACAACCTCTTTAACCGTAGTATAAGGGGTAAGTAGTGCATCGTCTTATTGAAACCTTCTTCTATTTAGCATTTGTGGCTTCTTTGTAACGTGGCTGGTTACAAAATTTATAATTTTCTACAGCTGCATCAACCTTATAGAATAACATGCAACCTTTCTCACAATAATCAATCATCTCCGATTAAAGACTCAACTTGAAAATCAATTTCTTTGCCGTGTAAAAATCTTTGGGCAAGAATCTTGGTCGCATTAAGTTCATTCATAAGGCCAATGATAGAATCCATGTCTGCTTGAGAAATAGAATTATTCGATTTAATACTTAGTAATCTAACTGCAACAGACAACTTGGAATGCATTGCCCCTTCATAAAGCGGACAAATAGCTTCCTATAATTGTTTGAAGAAGTTTTTAGCCTCATCATTTGGTTTGGATTGAGCCTCAGGGTACATCTCAAAAGCATCCCTCATCATTTTATTAAATCTAGAATTTTCAACATTAATAATCTCCGCTATGGGACTACCTTCTTTACCACCAGATGAGTTCTGAAAATGAACATCATCTACACTAGCATGACTCTCCCCATGCACAGTCCACACATAATAATTTTTTATAAACCTCTTCTTATACAAATGAATCGTAACAATATCAGACATCAGTAACTTAAGACACTTTCATTTCACACAGGGGCACCTAATTGTCCTTTTCGATAAGAAAATCATCAAGTGTATTTGCTTTAGCAATAAAGCTAGAATTCCCATACATAAATTTATCCTGCAACCCCGTACAGTTTTGATGATTCCAATCATACATCCATCTACGATGCCCAAATTTCATCTACACAAAAATACTATTTCATTTAAAGGTTCTTATTTTGAAAGGTTAAATGTTGTTTCATTTTGTATGTGAGTTATGTCAATATAATACTACTACTATTTAACAAGAGCATTGAATAACAAATATAATTACCCAAACAAAGAAAAAAAGCTATTTAAAAAAAAAATCTACATATATAGAAATTCTAAAATATTTGTCAACAAAAAATGAAGAATAATTAAAATTATGGTTCAGTTGAATTAATTTTTACTCTTTAATTATTAGCGTAATTACTAGCATTATTTTTTAATCTTTAATTATTGGCGGAATTACTAGTTTTTGGCTTATACGAGCAAAAGAGTTTAATGGATGAAAATGAAAATAGATTTCAACTAATTAGCTTAATTCCATGAAAGTCAAAAGATATTAAAAAAGTTAGGAGTAAGACATATTGCCAAAAGTAGCCAACTAGCGCTAAGAGCTTTAGTAGATTCTTCATGCTTTCTCCTCTTAAAATTAGTACCCTCCCCAATATAATCAAACGAGATGAATTTCTATATGTGTAAGAACTCTACAAATTAGTTAGCATAATTATTTAGTAAAATTATCCCCAACTTGGTAATGTTAACCCCAAATTAGTAGGTAATTTACCAACATATAACTCTAAATTATCAATATATAACTTTAATTTAGCAACATATAACTTTAACATATAACCCTAAATTACCAACATATAACTTTCTCTAAATTACCAACATATAACTTTCTCTAAATTACTAACATATAACTTTAACTTAGCTACTAACAATAGTCATAGATTTTACAACTCAAACTAGGAGCAATTAAACAAAAGCAGTGTATTTCAAAAAAAAAAAAAAAAAAAAAAACAAAGGAGGGTGAGGGAAACCTACCTGGCAGTGGAGGGTCGCCAAAAAAGGAGCTGGTGCTGCACGGGCTAGGGCGTCGTCGGTGATGGCAGCGGGCAGGTTGGGTGGGGGGAGGGAGAGAGGAGGTTTGAGTGAGAGAGAGTAGATAAGGAAAAATAGAGGGAAAGAAAAAAGAAAGGGTGTGTGTGTGT